CTCCAACCGCTACGGTTTGGTGGCTGAATGGGACCAGAGTCCCTTTCCCAATCTGCTCCCTTTCCCTTGTGTAACACTTGAGTCCTCTTGGATCTGCAGAAATGGGATGTGTTCGATTTCCAGCATCAGGACTGTCGGAGAAACTGCTTGTGGGACACTGCAAGGGTAACACCCGTAGCGGTGTATTTAAAAGCCACGTCTTTTCTGCTAACTGAACCATTGCAGGAGACACAGATTTCCTTTCTTCATTTCTCCTTTGACACTAAGGCCATTAATTTCCCAGCTGCTTTCTGCCTTTCCTGGATCAGCCCTTCCCTCGGCTGGCACAAGCGTCTATATAACAGTGACAGATCAGAGCAGCCACCAGAACTGGGTTAAAATGAGGCTTGCAAGAAAAGAAAAAAAAAAAGGTTCATTTTAACCTGGATCAGTTCCTCAATCCTGTGCTCCACATTGTCAGGGGCAAGTAAAAAAGTGATACTATGGAAGAGTGAAGAGCAAATGACATGTGCAATGACAGCCTAAAATATAAATGGAGATGACCAGTCTCAGTCACCTGGCTTTAGACAATATAAAAATCCTCTTTAAGTCTTCAAGTATTTTTATAGCCTTAAATTGCCGTTTCTCCTCTCTCTGAAACAATCTCCAAAAATGGAGAGCGGCAACAGTGGCTGAAGAAAATGAGACCAGTTCTGTGAGCATGTGTATGGGGCCAGCAGCTCTTGTCCGAGCACTCACCCTTGTCCCTGGCTCCCCGAGCTGCCCAGGAGACCCTGGAGGGACAACATCTCATTTCATTTTCCTGACATCTTGTGGCCTGCAGAGGCTGGAGCAGGACTCTGTTCTGCTCGAGTGAGGATTTAGAGACTGTGCCGGGTAATCCTGGGACATGCGTGTGCTGCCTCGCACACACTGCTTGAACTGGAGCGGATTTATTCCACTCTGAATTCCTACCTTCAGGAGGACTCCCCAGGGGGATGAATTCTGACCTGCAGCTCATAGGGACAGGAGGAGAAAGCTCCAGTGCTGCCAGCCAGCCCTTCACTCCCTATATTCCCCTTCCGCATGATCCGCTGTCTGATTTCTGGTGGGAGAGGGACCAAGGACGGTGGCTCTAGGCCCACTGCAGATACATTTTCATCTTTGGTACCTGATTTTGACTATTTGATTGGAAAACAAAAGGAAGTGCTAAGCTGTCACCTCCACAGTGTCCTGGCCAAGAGGTCCGGGTTACCAACGCTAGCGAGTACAGGTACTGCTGCTGGGAGCTGCTTGTTGTGGGCATTGTCAGCTGGGAACCCGGCTTTTGCT